TCTTGGAAATTGCTTTTTCAGTGCGATTGTAACTGAACGGTCACTAAATGAACTACTTTAAGTCGAGGACTACCTGTAATATGGAACTGATAGCCCTATTCCAACTTGAAGAGTTTAAACCATAGTTTTTTATTCCTGGAAATAGGACCACAAATAGAATTTAATAGATACATTTTTTTCTGGCCAGAAACCTTATCAGAGTTTATTATTGAAATAATAAATTTCGAGATGAAGAGAGAAGTGTTCTTCACTTATGCTGGCAATTATGCCAAATGAACCTGAAAATTAAATGTTCCAAAACTGTATAATAGCACTAATGCAATGACATCATGTATAACAGCAAGTCTAGTTTCATATATTTCTGCACATGTTTTTCTATATTGAAAAGAATCCGCTTTTATTTTGGGTGATAAATATATTTATTTGGTTTCTTTGAAGATAAGGAATCTAGACTGCTTAATACATATTCTGCTATGCAGTGCTGCTCTGCCTGCATAATGCAAATTATAAATTTTGGAGCAGAAAAAAAGTTTCTTTTTTTAATGCATCGTTTAACTCAGTTCTGTGAACTGTTCAGTTGGCCTTCCTGCACATATTGTATTAACCTTTCTATTCTTGTTCACAGGTGATCTGAAGCACATTACTAAATTAAAGCCATGGGGTCTCTTTGAAGTATTGGTGGAAAAATATGAATGGTCCCAAGATGATGCAGCTGCATTCACAGACTTCTTATTACCTATGCTGGAGCTGAATCCTGAAAAAAGAGCTACAGCAGCACAGTGTCTCAGGCATCCCTGGCTCAACCCCTAAACACTCCAGTCTGATATGGTGGCCCTTTCATTGGGTTACGGCATAAAATATATAAACACACACACACAAACACACACACATACACCTAGATGTCCCAGCTGTCCCTTTTCCTTCTTCCAGGTCAACTTTTTCCTTGTTGATTTTCAGAGTGAAACTTCTCCTTGAAGGCTTTTTAGATTTTAGATAAATCTAACTGTTCATGTGAGATTGTGTATTTGACTTGGTGGGGACTATTATTAGCCAGTGGACATCCAATATGATTTTCAGTGATTGGAGTTTGCCAAAGAATTTTTATGGGAATGTGAAATTATTGCATAGTCTCTTCCTTACACAGATACCTTACCTTGAAGGAAATCTTCATGGGGATATGCTCCCTTAAGTATATTGCAGTCATCCCAAGGGGGATGTGAAGAGCTTGTGAATCCCTCCTTAGCTCACTGACTCTGGGAGTCATTTCTTAGTGCACATTCAGTTGCTGGCAGTAGGAGGAAAAGTAGCAGATGGCACCAAGGTGGTAGCTCCATGAGGAGCACTAGACTCAACTAAATCCTTAGGTGTCTGCTCTGCTGCTTGGATAACTTTTTTTCTTATTTTTTTGGACATACTTTTCTTTAGCCATTGACTCTTGAAATTATTTACATATATATAAATATATAAAACATATACACACATGCCATTTTTGATCTTTGGTGCTCAGGGTAGTTCTGAGTCCAATGAACTTTGCTCTCCAAAGGTGGGCCATATAAACCTGAATAAGTTTCACAAGGGAAATAAAATGAAAGGATGTGGTAAAAGTAACCTTTTCTGCAGTATGGATCTATGCATTTATTGCCTGCAGAGGGGAGTCAGAGTACCCAAATTCTATGCCAGGTCTGTCTAATACATAGCCTTGGGCAATATGTCATTGCCAGCCTGATAATGTGGCACAAGAGTGCTTGATAAAACATTTCTGCAACCCAACCTGGAATTCAAAAGTAGGAATATACCAAGTTTGTGGCAGTCCACTTGTTACGTAGGTCTGCTTTATGCCATTGGTGTCATATTGGCCATGCGTGAAATTGTATTTTTATTAGAGAGCAGTTCTCAGAAAGATAGATTATATCCTTACTGTAAAATAAGAAAAGGTGGTATTAGTGCTATCTTTTCAGCCTTGCTATATGCCCAGACCTAGAACCAACAAATGTTAATGAATGTAATATTATCAACTGTGTTAACTAGTCTAGAATGCTAGACTTTAGAAAGTACCTTTTTAAATAGAATGCTGTTTTTACTTATATATTAACTTCAGGACAAATAGTCTTAATTTTTTCCAGTAGAGATGAAGTGACAATTCTGTTTTCAAGATCATTACAAATATACTGTTCAACAGAATATATTGTAACTTTTAAACTCTAAGAAGAAGAACTGGTTGTGAGTGAATCTTACCAATTTTTTAAAAAAATTGGAAGAGTATAAAACACCTGTTAGTTTTACAATAAGCATCTCCTAGACTATTCCTGGTTACTTTCTTTTATATGTCTTCTGTATTCAGTTGTAATGATAGGTTTGGGGTAGCTGGGTCTTCAGTTGCCTTCCTAACAATGGACCAAATAGAATTTTGACATTAGAAAATTCTCCAAGGCTGGAAAGTGCTAGAGAACTGGTATGTTTCAGGCACTGTTTGAGACAATTCAGTTCATATGCCAATAGCAAGATCATTCTTTTCATTGTGTGGCAAATCCCGATCTAGATGCTTTTTAGATGCATCCCTTTGCTGAAAAAAATATCTGTTTAGCATGTGTTAACAAAGCACCATATCTCCTTTTTAATTTAGTCATGTAACAAGACGGGGGTTTTAGCAAAATGTTTGTTTCCATTTAGAAAAGCTTAAATAAAGTTCTCTGTGCATAATCTTAAAAGGAAAAAGAAAAATGTTCCAAAAGTTTTAATTTTACTCACATTATTTGGGGTATCTTGCCTCCCAAAAGCACTTCTGTGCCTGTCTGTAAAAAAAGATTTAGGATAGAACTTAGAATATATGTTAGTACTTCCTCTCTGAATACTGTGAAGACATTCTGGCAAAAAGAATTGAACTTCTGGTGACAATGTAGCCTCATTTACATACCCTGACTATCTGATTAGAACAAGAGGCATCTCTTGGTTGTAATACTCCAGTGAAGGAGGCCACTCACAGCTCTTTTGCACTAAAAGAGATGTTCTGAGATAGTACAGGTGGTAGTTTGTCTGGATTGTCTGTGTACTTTGTAGTTCACATCAGGTTCACTCAACTTCCAAATTGCCATAAAGTGCTCACTAACCAATTTGTACTTGTTTTCTTGACCTAAAACTAGAAGGAAAATACATTTTTATTCTTTCTATTGGGTGTATTGTCTTTTTTTTCTTTGTAAATACCGCACAATAAACAGATTATCCAATAATTCACAGATACTTCGGAAATGCTGTCTATGTTTATCTAAAGTATTTATTGTAGAGCTCTCTTCAGACGTTGTGTGAAATATACATGGTTTCCACATGCCAAGCGTAAGCATAATATGACTTGTTGAATAAGATCAAAGTGGTCAAGGATTGTATTTGAACCTAGTCAGTGAAAAAATTAAATATGAGCACCATAGATGCAATCCTATGAGGGCTAAATATACGGTAGTTTTGTAACTTATGGTGATAGGAGGAAGGAGAATATTTCATTTCCAGTTCCTATAATATTACTTAACATACTTTTTCTGCTCTTTATTTTTAGCCAAATTCATAATCAGAGCAGTACTTAGACCAGAGTGAATTGAACAAAAAAAAAGCAGGGAAGTTAAATGTGACTAATCAATTACATTTAAAGAAAACTGTTGCTGGAGGCTAATTTGTACCCCTTCTTTTTTGAATGAACTGTTATGAATGCACTTGCTTGAGCTCTTGCTAGGCTTCTCCACATACACATTTTAGGAACAGGAGAAGCAGCAGAGCCTGTGTCCAGAAAGGGCAAACTGAAATTAAGGCAAATGGAGGAAGGAAAACAATATCCTTCCATTTCCAGAGATCATCAAGTGAATTGTGTGAGAAAGCCAGGATTCTGAACTCTATAAAGAAGTATGTTAGGAGTTTCTTTTATTGTTTTAAAAATTGCTAATCGCTATCACTAATGAATATGATGTTAGAAAGTCAGCTGACTTAGTGGTATAGGTTTATCAGAGTGTCATATGTATGACTGTCAGTTGGCCATAAACTGAGTTCAGGTTTAATGCAGTGAGCCTTTGATTCTTGTAGCAAGTCTCCCTTTGAAACCAACGTAGCTGAGCTGAAGATCCTTAGAAAGGTACAAATAAGATCTTAAATATAGCATCTCATTTCTAGGTTAATAGATTCCTTGCTGTCGGTGAAATGAGTTTACTGGGAAAGGACTTTTCAAGGATAAAGAGAGATATACTCCTAGGAGGAACTCAATCCTTGGATGATGAACTTGTGTTCTACTGAGGGGAGCAGTTGGCTGTGGGTTGTAGATGAATCAAGCATTGGAAATTGAAGTGATAGGTATAGTGCTTCTGTATGGACTTTGCATACAGGTAGTCTTCAACTTAGGACCGCAATTGAGCCCAAAATTTCTGTTGCTAAGCGAAGTATTAGTTATGTGCATTTTGACTCATTTTACAATCTTTCTTGCCACAGTTGTTAAATTACTTTGACATTGACTGTTTGTCAGAGGTCACAACCCTGGAACACTGCACCCATCATAAATATGAATCAGTTGCCAAGCATCTGAATTTTGATCACATGACCATGGGGATGCCGCAATAGTCATAAGTGTGAAAAATGGTCATAAGTTGCTTTTTTCAGTGCCGTTGTAACTGAATTGTCACTAAATGAACTGTTGTTAAGTCGAGGATTACCTGTACTATGCAGATGGACTGTTGGACAGTACCAAAAACAGTAGTCCAAATTGGAATTAATATTTCATTAGTCAGCCAATTCTGAAAACCAAATGTAGGCAGCTAAATAGCATATTAAAGTCCAGGACTGATTAAGCATCCTTAAAAACACCTGTTCTATGCCAAAAGCAGAGTATCGGAGCCATTTAATTAAATCTTTGTGTTACAAATGATAACATGGAAGATGTAACAAAAATCCAGTGGAATGGTGTCATAAGGATAGGGTCATCCCTGAAAGTGACCTTTATAAAAGAATAGATCAGCATGCACTGAGGTGGGGGTGTGTGCTTTCTATATCAGATAGGATGTATACCTAATATATTCAAAACTTTGAAAGATCCATTTCTTTCAGAATTGCTTTGTGGCAAATGTAAATTGGATATACAAATATACTATCACCTCTTGATTGAAATGCAGAGTAATCCTGAATAACATCTTGATCCAAAAGTTCAAAGCTGTAACTCCTACGTACAACCTAACTTTTTTCAATTCATACTCGCTGGACAAATAAATTAACGGGGGATTGTATCCCATTGGTTTAAGGAAAGCATAACCATATCTGCTATATATAGACATTTGAACAGAACTCACAAGAGTTAAAGGGTTACATTTTCCTGAAGTAAGAGTTTGCAGAGCAGCATATATATGCCTGTTATAAGTAATATTAAACTAGCTGAATAGATGCAATATTTAATTCAGCAAAATGTTTTGAGGTCTATTATTAATTATCCAGATCTGTTGGGCACTGCAGGTATAGAACATACAAAACATGGTTGCAAATAGGATGTGGAGATCCAAACCAATTAATGTCACACTAAACAAAATTTATTTTGTCATAGTCTTTTCTAGAAAAGAGCGCACAGTTTTTTGCAGAATCATTCTTCTATAATACAGACTGATGTGTCTAGATAACTGGCAGAATCCACATTATCACTTATGTATCAAGCAGTTTTTCTGAGTCCAAGGTCAAGTTGGAGTACTCAGTATTCAAGGAAGTAGGTACACTTGCGATTCCTTCAGTCTTCATTTATTTGCTTCCTCTGCAGGACAAAAGAAACACGCCATAATAATCCACAATGTGCCTTTCCCCTCCCCATTTCCCCAAAAGCAGCTAATGGAATAACAACCCCTCTTTCATGGTGTGAAGTATTTTTCAAATTTGGCCACTTTCAACTTCTATCATGCTGTGTGAGGAATTCTGGGAGTTGAAGTCCCTACATTTTAAAATAACCAAATTTGGTCTAAATCAGGGGTGAAAATCAGCAGGTTCTGACAGGTTCTGGATCAGCAGAAATTTTTAGTAGTTCAGAGAACTGGCAAATACCATCTCTGGCTGGCCCTAGAGTGGTGTGGGAATGGAGATTTTGCAGTATCCTTCCACTGCCACATCCACCAAGCCACGCCCACAAAATCGGTAGTAAAAAAAAATTTGAATTTAACCACTGGTCTAAATAGAAGCTGCTATGTCACATGCTACATTTAGGACAGAATTTGCCATTAGCGCTTGATGAAGAGTATTGAATTTGTTGATCATGCTTGACTATGATTATAAACCCAGGGAAGAGAAGGGCTCTGCTTTGGAGTAACTCACTTCAACTGAATTAGCATGGCAGTGACAGTTAGTGACAACCAGGTCAAGTTTATATGTGTCACTAAAGAAAGAGTGAGTAACAGCTCCCAGCTTGAGAGATCTACCAAGTTTTTACAGCATCCTGAAGGCTGCTCTGTGAAAGATGTAGAGACTATTTTTAGTTTGTTTTGTTATATTGTTTTGAAGTTTTGATGATAATATCCCCAATAACCTTTTCCTTCTTCAACAGAGGGCACTGTGAAACAATTTTCCCCATGTTTTCTGATACTGAAAGAGGAAAAAAAATCCACTGCAGTCTTTTTTGTTCTTGTTGTTGACAATCAGAAGAGACACATTGGTTGAACAGACATGTTGAATGCACATTTGGAGAACAGGTGAAAAGGCAGAAGTTTTAATCACCCATTTTGTTGTTTGAAACTTCTCCAAATGGGAAAGATTGGCCTGACATTTGGGAAAACATAAATTCTAACCCTCTATATAAAATGCAGAAATAATGTCCAAATTGTATCCTTTTTCATTCTAGAATCCCAAGCCCGCTGAATTGCACTAAAGGCCAGTGGAATAATTTCATTTTTATCAAAACAGTGGATGTTGCATATCACAAGATATCTAAAACTTAAAACAGTGATGAGACACAAAGTTACAGTCTCATGCGTATGATGCTATTACAATTATTTTTAACAGCTAGGGAAAGGGAATAATTTAGAAGACAGTTTATACAGTAGCTACAAATAACAGAAGCGTACTTGTGAATTTTTTAATTTTAAACTTTGGAAGGCGAAGAAAAGTAGGAAGAAAAATAGGATACCATGAGAACAATTTAAATTAAGAAAAAAATGTTTCTGACAATTCTAATGTTGCATGAGTTGTAATATTAATAATCTGCACACAAGACAAGCTTTTGCACTTTTTGTCCTTATAAATTTTATGGAAGTAAATGTCCAAATCTCATCATCTACCATTCCATTGTCATTGCTATTTTGACTATGGCAGGGGTCGTCAACCTGAAACACTCAAAGATCCATTTTAATCTATTTCCCACAGAAAAGAAAAGACCAGGAGCCATGAAACCTATTGGGGGTCGAAAAGCTCAATAAATTGCATGGTGGCGGGTGTTGCACATTGGCAGTTATGTCAAATATTTTGAGCAATGGAGCTGCAAATTGAAAGAGCCACATGCGGCTCCAGAGCTGCAGGTTGCAGGTTGCCGATCCCTGGACTATGGAAAGGGTAGGTTCTTCGGGGAGGGCGGGGTAATTGGCTTACCTTTGTTTTCCACTTGGAAATCAGAGGGTAGAAGATTGTCTTGCCGGTTGCCAAGCACAAATGCTAAAAAAGAAAGGATGAGGGCATCAAGAATGCCGATGATGCAAAGGATGTATGCCCAGCGCACAGTGCAGACTCCCAGGGTGTATTTGTCAGTCTTCTCTCCACACATGCGTTTCACCTCAGGGGAGTCCCAGCCATCAGGGTAGAGCAGGCAGCCAATGGACAAGCCGGCACCTGGAAATGGAAGGTATTCAGTGACGATATTGAAAGACACAGTTGCAACCTCAACGTGGTATCTCTTCTCTTGGGTTTTTCATATGAAGTGTTCTGCTCAGGCTCCTGATTATACAGGCTGGGCAATAAATCTAATCAATAAACAAATAAAAAATTGGGACAGATTCAAAAAGAGTTTCAAGTGCAAATGATGGCAAGACAGTGCAATATAAAGTACACTCACCACCTTGTACCACTTTTGAGAAATGGAGGTGGCTTCTGGATATGTCCCCTGTTTTCTATTCTCTCCCTTTTGAAACTGATCAGAAAGCCTGATATCGTTGCTCATCTTGCTGTCTTTGCCAAAAATTGCAGTTTAAAGCTTGGTGAAAGCTTGAATTAGTGCAAATACAGCTTAATTTGGGAACTAAAGTTGCAGTCCTAGAAACTATTGTTAGCATCATGCCTTTTCTTCCCTGATTGAATAACCACAGGTCAGCCCTGTATCCAGGGCATAGACAATCACAATACATGATTGCTTTTTGGAAATAAAATATCTATGATTAATACTTTATAAGCTGTTCTTAGATGAATATAGTAAGAGATCTGTAACTTGTACAAAACACTCATACTATTAGAGTTAAACATGAAAAGTAGAAAAAAGAGCACAAAATTTCTGTCCTTGGAAAAGAGTGGACAAGCACAGGACATTGAAAATTGCTTTTCTTACCATTTAGTTTATGATTACATGCTATTCCTGCAAGAGATCTATTGTGTGGCCCTCCAGCAGCCAGTGGAGCTGATAGCAGATTCAGACAGGGAGGAAGTTGGGGAGGAACATGGGCCAGTCTTGGAGTCTGGGGAAGGCTCTGATGCAATGTTCCCTCTTAAGTTTTTTTCAGTGTGAACGGAAAAGTATAGTGTTTGAGCGGCGCAGTTTCATGCCTGAGCACCTAAGAGAGCAACAGTTTGAACTGCTGTCACGTCTGCTGGACATTTGCGCAACATTCCAAGCGTCAAGCACCGATTGCGAGCAAGGTTTCAGCCTGATGAATGCCAGGCATGAAAAGTGCCACTCAAACACTATACTTTTCCGCTCACCCTGAAAAAAAAAAGGCTCTCTGCTCAGCTTTTACATTGTTAGACTGGCTAGAGAGAGACATGGCACCAACAGGGTCCTGGG